GTGTGTGTGTGTGTGTGTGTGTGTGTGTGTGTGTGTGTGTGTGTGTGTGTGTGTGTGTGTGTGTGTGTGTGTGTGTACGACTTTGACTTCCTTATGCACAGAACAGTTAAGAACTGAAGTTCTTAAAATTTTAGCTAGATATAAATCTGAAAATAATTATATTGGACTGTTTAAATAATCAATTGTTAAACTCATAATGTAAAATTGAATCCAATTTGAATATCTATTATCTTTAATCATTTCTATAGATCGCCCATTGCTTCTACTTAATATGTCATTGATTTAAGCAATGTTAAACAATTTAACAAAAGAACGTATTAAACACGAATTTATAGCGTTTTCTCTTGGGATACACTTAGTATCCCAAGTAACCTTGCACTACACCAGTTGCTGTATCAGTACTGCACTACACAAGTGTACATATATCATGATGTACACTACTTCATGCTATCGTGTTTAATTCTACTGCCGGTTGACATTTTCAAATTTTTAATGTTACACTGGCTTTACACCATCTCTTTGAAATCGTGTAGCAAAACCCTTTGTGCATAAAATTTGCACTACAGCCAAGAAAACACACTACACTGTCTGAGTATTGCACTGATAAGCGATAGTCAGAGTTGGATAAGTTTTTTTTTAACTGAATAAAATTAAAGTTAATGATTTTACAAAATTAATAAAGTTAAAAGTTGAAGGATATAATTAATTTAAGTTAAGTCAATATTGAATTAACTTAAGTTAAAAAAAAATTAATTTTTTAGATCAAAATGTCCTAATTTTTCTTAAAATGAGATTAAATAACTACAATATAGATTATTAAGTAAATTAAATTTTTAATTTTTGTATTCACATGTAATATAATTTAATAAGCATTATGACTGCATTAGACGCTGTTGTGCTTAAAGCGCATGAGAATTAATGGCTTTGGCACACCAGCGCGATTTGTGACTTGCAGATAGCCAGACAGGTTTTTAGGTTTTTACTTTTTAATAAGTCTTAAGAAATTGACCAATTACAATTCGAATGCGAGAAGAATATTTGACTATAATTGGTCAATTTCTTATGACTTAAGACTTAAAACACCTATTGTAAATCCGGACTAAGGCTTATGGCATAAGGCATAATTGCATAAACCAATCAAAAGGGCTGTATTTAGTATTTTAAGAAATTACTTAAGATGGTCTTAAAATATGAACAGATTATGAATATATTCTCTTAATCTTATTATATCTTATTATTTTTCTAAGATATTTAAAAGAGTTAAAAAAATTTTTTAACTTAAAAAAAGTTAAAAAGTTAACGTTTTAAAGTAACTTAGTTAAGTTAAAATTTAATTTAAAATTAATTAAATTAAGTTAAAAGTTATTAACTTTTTAACTTTTTTTTTGAACTTTTAATATTTTAACTAGTTATTACCCAACCCTAGCGATAGTGCAGCCAAGAGAAAACGCTATTATAGTTTATTATTTATTAAATAATATGTTTCATATGGACGTTGTTTATTTTGGAATTAAGCAATTCAATCACAGAAATGGATCGATTTACACTTTCATATACATGAAAAATAAAAATAACAAATTATTATTTAACTCAAGGAATTAGATTACCATTGAGCTTTTGATGTCTAATAACACATTGGATATTTAGCCTAAGTAAAAAAATAAACATTACTTATCGACACTTTGACGTTAAAACGATGTTATTTAATTAAATGATAATGCTGCAAAAAATTTTGATGTTCTAACGACCTTCTTCTCACTTAGCAAGCTAACGTTATTTGTTATTACTTTGATGTCAAAATGACAACAAGTAATTCGCTACTTGAAAAGCTTCGGTTGCTAGGATGTTTTGCAAAACGTTTTGCAGCATATCAATAAATATATAAATTGAGAATTCTGCATAATTATTTTGATAATACAACATAATTATTTTATAATTTGTATACTGTTAGATATCAAAGGATGATAGTAATTCTGAACTCTACTATTTGAGTTAAAAATAACATTTTATTATTTTTAACTTCCATACGTATTAAGGTGTAAATCAATCCAATTCTGGTTATATGCTTAATTTCAAAATAAACAATGTTCATATTAACGTTCATATGCACTTCCAATTAATAAATAATAAACTAAATTTGAGTCAAATTTAATACATTTATTGAATTAAATTTAATTAAATTTATTGTTTTTAATTAAATTAACGAGGTATTAAATGGGAGCAGTGACGACCTACATAGAAATGAATAAATGATTAAAAATAACTCAAATTGAATATAATTTGACATAAATTTATCAGTATACTTGACTGAATTTTTATATTTCAATAAAACGATTCTTTCCATGTAGAAATCATAGTAGATCGGTGTCGCCATAATCAATTTACGCGACGTGCATCTTCATTAATTTAAGGCTTGACTAAATGTCTGGTATGATTTGTGCCTTGCGATAGATGATCCGCATATATATATATGTATATATACGCCTACGTAGACATAGGCTTGTCTCCCGGAGAAAGTAGCGTTACTCGTCTGTCTTTATCTGTACATGTCTACAGTTGCCAGTTCTTTTCATCGTTGCACGCGCGCACATATTTCCGAAATCTTCGAAGCTATCATGTGAGAGCGCTCTCAGAAAAAGCTTTTTTTATGAATCGCGCGGATTGAATACTCGAAATTCAGTTCTGTGGTTCCATAATCCAATTTCGAAATTCTTCGAGATGTACTCTGTGTATTGCGAACGCATGATAAGCAGCTAGATACGAGATAAATAGATACAAAACTCGTTATTCCACGTCGAAATAGTATTATTATAATATTAAATGGCACATTAATTTGAATTATTTTTAATTATTTCTATTTATAGATCACAATTCCTACTTAATTTGTCATTAATTTAATTAAAATAATGGAGTTAAATAATTTTATTTAAGAAAATATATTAAATTTGACTCAAATACAGTTTATTGTTCACTATATGCATATATACGTTAATGTAGACATTGTTTATTTTGAAATTAACCAGAGAAATGGATTAATTTATATTTTGACATATGCACAAGAAAGTTAAAACAAAATATTATTTTACTCAAGGGGTTAAATTACTATTGCTTCTTTGATATCTATAACAGTAAATGCATTGTCAAATTCTATTTAAAAAAAAGACGTTTTTTAGCCCAACAAACAAGCTGATGTTATTTTGACTTCAAAATAAGGTCTTTGATGACATTTTGATGTCACATTATGACGACAGAAATAAATCAGTTTGTTTTCTAAGAGCATTCTAGAGCCATATTCTTGAAAAATATCGCATATAAAAATATTATAATATACGATTACAATATACATGTATATTACTCGAGGTTTCCCTAGATATCTTTGTACGCGATTTTTTTAGAATAAATCCTTTGTATTAGAAATTTTTTATAGTAAAGAATAAAAAAAATATTATTGATACATTGACAAATAAATCGTATTGTAGCACTGCAAATAAAAAGCTACGCGATCAGACACGCTTTGTGATTTTCGAACACGTGTTCTGAATCAGAATCGTCTTAAGAGCGACGCACTCAGGCGTCGCATAAACGGTGTTTTCCAACGCGACATGAGTAGTTAAGTGCTTAAGAA